AGCAGGAGTATGAATGCAGCCCTCTGGGAGTGTGCTAGCAAGAGGGGGTGACTTGAATTTTTTCTTTTTCTTTCAAGCTCTCCTTCTGCCCATGCTCGGGATACCTTTCTGGAGCAGCCTAATGCATCAGAAACCTGCTGCACGTGCAGGTTTGGGTGCTGGGGTCGATATGTGCTGAGCAGGAGCCATACACAGTGCAGGATGTCTGTAGCAGTGCACGTCTCCCATAGACCTTGCTGGGCAAGAAGAATATATTCACCTGGCCCCAGGCTGGCTCCTCTCCTCTTCTTTGGACATCACCACCTGCTGTGCCTGCACTGATAGCACTCTATGGCTGTGGGCATCCAACACACATGCCCTGCCCTAAAAAGGGAGGGCCCAATCCAATGTACTTGTTGGCCACAAGCATTTGTGGAGAGGAAATTAAGCTACTAACAGCGCTCCCTTTTCTGAGCTTTTACCAAACAGGAACCATCCTTTTCACCTTCCTGTGGGGCTGAATAAAGGTCACACCTGACATTTTTTTGTAGAAAAAGTAAAGGAGGATGGTGGCACAGGGAGGAGGAATGTAGAAAACAGGGTGTTTTAAATGGCTCCTGAAAGTGGGCTGCATGGTATAAGTCAGCTGTGCCATTGCCCTGTGCCCCTAGTGCCCTCACAACCTCTGAGCACAGTGGTGATGACCCAGTGTGGAGCCCGGGACTCCTCTCCAGTGTGGGCACGGCTGATTTTAACAGAGAGTGGGTGCTGTGCTGCCAGAGGCTTCGCTGTTGCAGGGGCCATGATGAGGTGCAGTCAAAGGTTTTGCATACTAGCATTGCACACAGAGCTGCATCATGCATGGAGGGGTGCATTGCGCACACGGGGCTGCATTGCACACATGGGGCTGCATTGTGCATGTTTGCATTGCACATGCATGTTTGCGTGGCATGCATGGGGCTGCTTTTCACACGTGGGTTTTCGTTGCATGCATAGAAAACTCCTGTGCTTTACACTTTGTCCTGAGGCACTTAGGGTAGGGACCCAGGTAGGGTATCCCCTCAGGAAATTTGTCAGCGCATTGCAAGCCAGGGCCCTTAAAATATTAACCAAGGCCAAATACTGCAGTGCCTGCTTCATCTGGAGTACAATGGGGGGATCACAGGTCATGCAGGCCAACGCAGACCATTTTGTGCAGGCTGGCTGGGAGGCAGAGACCTGTTTGAGCATGGCACAGTGAACAGCATTGGACATCGCATCTCCACAGCTCACTCTCAATTTTTCCCAAGCCCACATTCTCATGACCAGGATCCTGTTTGTGAGCCCTGCACCCGCTGGCCTCTGCTCCCCTCCCTTAGAGCACCCTGCTCTGGGGAGAGGTGCTCATGGCAGCATGCAGAGCCCTTGCTAGAAACCTTGTAACAGAGCAAGCACATAACATGGCATGTGTGAAAACGTGGAGAAAATAATTTCATTTTGGGCCGGTTTATGCTTTGGAGTTCACAATTCCCAAGCAAATTTGTTTTGCATCAGAAATTCAAATTTGCCCATATCTTTTACTTCAAGAGCGGGAGGAAAACCAGTAAAATTAATCTAAGCTTTTCATCTGGAGTGCTTTGGCAGTCATTAAGCCATGACATGAAGTGCACTCAGTTGTTGCTGCACCGGACACGGGCTTTTGCATCCTTCTGCAGGCAGATACGAGACAGGAACCCTTATTAAAAGATTAAGATTGATAGCTATTCTTGGCGGGTGCGAAAGCCTGTATTCTTTCTGCAGCTGTCTCAGAGCTGTCCCATCTGGTAAAATTTAGCTGCCTTGGTTGGCTTCACCTGCCTGAGTGTCGACCCGACAGAAGGAGGTTGGCAGCCAAAATGCCGCGCTGCTTCTTCCTAATAAAACTTGTGTGCCAGGATTAACATCGGAGATGGTCGCAGTCATCGGCATGGCCCTGGTGGCTGGGCTGGGCTGGGCTCGAGCTCCCTCACTATAGCTGTTCCTGAAAAGGCCGCCTGCACCAGAGCTATAGCAGGGGAATAAATCACCGCCATATAAAGCGTCTTTAATTAGTGCCATGCGTGCGCAGGGAGCCCTGTTGGCATCCACAGCGTTTGTCTGGCAAAGCCTTAATGTGAAGCTCAGCTGGTTTGCGGGCTGGTTTGGAGAAGTGCTGCTATTTTTGAAATGTGTGGGACCCACCAGGCTCCAGCGGCTGGTGGAGGGATGCCTGCAAGAGGTTGAGTGCCATGGAGTGGGGAAAAGGGTCCCGTCCACATGGGTGGCTAATGCCAGGGTCTCTGCCATTGCAGGTAGACCGGTGGGACGAAATAACCGGCGGATCAACCGGGGAATCGTGGAGGAGTGCTGCTTTCGGAGCTGTGACCTGGCTCTGCTGGAAACCTACTGTGCCAAGTCTGTCAAGTCCGAACGTGACCTCTCCGCCACTTCCCTGGCGGGCCTGCCGGGGCTCAGCAAGGTAGGGGGTGTGATGGTGGCCCTTCTCCAAAATGAATAGCAAGTGAAAAGTTGGTTAAGGCCGCAGATGGGAGAGGACAAACCACAGCTGCAAGATCTGTTGCTTCTGCCAAGCCTTTGACAGATGGCTACTATGGGCAGCTTATGCCAAATACCCTGCAGAAAGTCAGCTCTTTCTGAGGTGGGGTACCAGAGGTGGGCTGGATCATAGAGTGGTTTGTGTTGGAAAGGGACCTTTAAAGGTCTAGTCCAATCCCCCTGCAATAAGCAGAGACATATTCAACTAGATTGGGATGCTCAGAGCGCCCACCAGCCTGACCTTGAGTGTTGCCAGGGAAGGGGAAATGTTTCCACAGGTGGATGGAGGTGAAAGCGGAACTCCCGCCCAGAGGGCAGGTAGGCTTGTGGTGAGGCTGACGTTGTGTCCTCTCCCCTTGCAGGAGAGCTTCCAGAAGCCCTCGCACACCAAGTACTCCAAGTACGACGTGTGGCAGAAGAAGAGCTCGCAGCGGCTGCAGCGGGAGTTGCCGGGCATCCTGCGGGCCCGCCAGTT